TCAATCGCGGGTCTAACACCCCCAAGCTACGGGTCAAATGTTGAGATGGTTGATGCTTTTAGAGGAACTTTCTTCCCCGGGATTCCAATTTTGCGACTCTGCTAGACAAAAAAGACGAGGAGGAAATGGTAATCCATGACACTTCAGATTTTATATTCCATCAATAAGACACACATATTCGGAGTCCAGTTTATATACTCCTATCCCTAAGGCTGGCCCTGCATCCTGTGAACTCACTTCCCCTCCCCCCCGCTTCATATGATGTTACTCCTAAGAACTGTGAGGTGCGAGGTTACAGTAGAAGCTCTGTCTCTTCATCCACACACTCAAATTTTGCTCAAAGAATTGTAAGACCTCTGCCAATACTAGTGGCAGAAGACCTTGAGACAGATGAGGCTATGCAGAAAAATAGTTATTTTGCTGAAATTGTGTAATTGTTAAAATAAGTTTATATGTTAGACTAATTGTTTAAGAATGATTAATCGTGCGCTATAAACTTTAAATACAATATTATCAGTATTTCAAATGACATTAGAATTCTCTGATAGCATGAGAATTCCTTAAAAAAAAGGCCTCCTCACTCCAGATTTTTTGTTTCCAGGGTGGAGGGGGGCAGGAAAGCAAAGATTTAGCACATACAGGCATATAGTAATGTAGACCTCCAGTATTTTTAATAAGTTTGTTAATGAATTCAATAAGTATCTTTGAAGCAGCTTGACTTTAATCTTTGATAGAGTGAAATAAACTTTTACCCAGTTCCCCAAACGGTGACAGTTCTGCAAATTATTTTATTTATAAGGCCTTGTCCGCCTTGGGGACGTAGAAGCATATAAATGGGTAAGGAACTACTTTTGTATTTGTGCACTTTTGTAAGTCATAGGACAGTTGGTAATAAATTATGACCAGGAACAGACTCCAGTGTTTCAGGTGAACAGCGGAGACTCTTCAGGGGGTTGAGAACATCTCCAGTTATTTCCTCAATGTTATTTATTTGGAAAAAACAGACTCATGGGTGTGACTAAGAAACAGTGCCCTAAAAGGAGAATCGCAAAAGTGGACCCAGAGTCAGACTGATATCACTTACTCATGATTGGGCAATGCAGTTGGGGTGACAATCTTGTGATCCTCTGATCCGATCAGATAATTACAGGTAAGGGCCTATGGGATAATACCAGCCCAAGTTTCACTCATAAGAGACCAGATAAATGAGGAAGAAGTTCACCACAATGACAACTCGAAGGCGGATATTCCTATTGCACAGTTTCAGGGTAACTGCACCTGCATCCCCTCCCTCCGTAGTCCAATCCAGGAGTGTCAAGTTAGGTGCTAGGTCTCCAGCTATCACTTATCTCTGATCAGGAACTCCTGCCCCACTACTTTCTGACCAAGGGTTTTAAGGCTTCATAGATCCCTTACAGTTGGATATACCCAGCAAACCAGTCTAACAGCGAATGTCTGCGTGTTGCTCTCTCTCTGAGAACTCTGAACAGCATATTGCCAGGAGTTACAAGTTACCACACAGCTCATCCTAGGCAAGCACATTTATTCTTAAGGTAAAGTATTACTGAGAAAATATTAAAAATAAACAGATTTAAACACACCAGGAGTTACCCATTAGTCTTCTGGCAGTCTAGTAGGCCACCGTCTTTCCAGTGCTTCTGGAAGGGTTAGGGCTCCCCTTGAACAAAAGGTCCTATCCATTTGCTTGCAGAAAGGCGGCCCCATAACAATTCAAGCTCAACTTTTTATACCAAAAGCCCTTTCTTTGTCTGAGACTCTGGAAAGCCAACTTTGAATCAGTATACGCGAACACCAGGTGGTGTTTCTCCAGAGTTATTTAACAATCTTCAGGGTAATCACCCCACACTGCTTTTAGGTAGTAGCCTATTTGTGGTAACCCTGCCCTATGGAGTAGAATACAATCGTACATAAGCCATTCATAAATTTGATACAGTAGCCCCCAAAGATACTGCATGGGATTGCAATATCCATCACAACTTCTACTTCCCCTTCCAAAGAAAGTAGATGGAGACATTGCAGCCTGAGAACGTCAGTACCCAAGCCAGAAGATGTTGCCTGGCTCCCCAAACTACAGTTGCTAACTGACTCTGAAGCTTCACAGACAAGCAAACTAAAGAGCAGATACTTTTTCTAAGAAATTTTATTCTTTTTGTCTCCTTAACAGGACATTTGAACACCAGAACAGGGACACCTGCTTGGAAAAAACTGTCCTAGCTTTTTTCGAAGTGGATATGTTTGTGTAGCTGGTAATAGCATGTGCATATAAGCGCACAGTATAAGTTATCACTGGGTACTACTTAACCGAGGATCAAATCAAATTATAGATCTTTAAGAGTCACCTAGGATATATAAAGATTTGATATATTTAAAGATTTAACCTAATCTTAACCAATTCTTTCCATGTTAGGGAGTGTTGGGTCAAAAGAAACTAACAAACCAGGAAGATGGTCTTCTCAAAGACCACGGCACCCTCCTCTTGTGTAAGGTACCAGTTCGGTACAGATACTTACTTGTGGGGGAATTCTGTGCCACTGAGCATGCACAATTTGTGCAGAAATTAAAATGTTTTGTGCAGAATTTCCTTTTCCTCCACAGAGGAAAATAGGCTGGAGAGCTGCTGGCTACCACTAGGGGTTACTGGACCCAGCACAGCACAGCTTGCAAGTAGAAGACACTGCTGTGGGGAGAGCACTAGAGGGATCCCGGCAACTGCAATTTTCAACATGCCCTGAAGGAAGGAAGCGGCATGTAGGAAACTCCACACAAACCCAGGACCCAGCATCAGGCTATTTCTCTCTCTAGATCCCTGGGCTCTGGGGGAGAGGGGTAGGTATGTCTGGACTGGCGGAGGTGTCTGGCCACGGCTGAACTCTGAGGGGTCGGGCACAGGGGGTGCATGTGAGTGTCTGGGCTGGGGGAAATCCTGAAGCTGGGCGGGGGGGGGGAGGGGAGGGGGTGTGGGTGCCTGGCCCCCCTACTGGGCTCTGGGGGGAGGGAGAAGAGAAACAAGAACTGAGTTGTTGTAGGGGTTTCCTCAACTCTATTTTTTTTGTGTCTGTACTGTTACAGACATAGTTGCGGATAGGTATTTTGAAATAAATTACCAAAATAATTCAAACTGGCATTATTATTGAGTGTTATTTTGACAACTAAAATATGGAGAATTTTAAATTTTTGGGAGCAGAATTCCCCCAAGAGTAATAGATATAATCTTTACATGAAACTTTGTAAAGAAAATGATTTAGGAAAGACCTGGTCATATAAAACAACATGAAGGTGTTCTTTTTTCAGAGATTCCAAAAAGGAATGTTGGGAGTTGTTAAAGTCACAAAAGCTAGAACATAACCTCCCCCCCCGCAAAAGAAAAGCTCTACATGTGTCCTTAAAACGTCAGTGAAAAACATGTGTAGTTGGGAACGTTTTGTAGAAAACCTTTATTTATTTCTTAAATGCAAGCACACAGTGAAATGCAAATATATGTTAGTATAGTTTCTAATGTAAATTCCTAATATCACTATAACATGATTCAATGGCTGAAAGTTGAAGCTAGACAAATTCAAATTGGAAACAACACATAAATTTTTGATAGTCAGGCTAATTAACAATTGGAATAGCTTCCCAGGGGTCAGCATGGATTCTTCATCACTGACCATTTTTAAATTAAGATTGGATGTTTTTCTAAAAGATATGCTCTGGGAATTATTTTGGAGAAGTTCTCTGGACTGTATTATACAGGAGATCACGAAGGTCCCACTTCTGACCTTGGAATCCATAAACTGTTTTGTAAATGGCAAAATGCTGTATATACCAACATGGAATATAATGATCTCGCTAACTTGATTACTAATACAAGAACTTATTTATATACAGAACATTTATTATTAACACTGTGTTAGGAAACAAAAAATAGAAAGGGTTCAGTTAACAAAAGTGAGACTGAAAACATCAGGAATGTTTTCTTTAGTGAAGAGATGAATATGAAGGGAAACTATACAAAATAATGATCTAGAGCAGTGGTTCTCAACCGGGGGTATGTGTACCCATGGGGGTACATGGAAGTCTTCCAGGGGGTACATCAACTCATCTAGATATTTTCCTGGTTTTATAACAGGCTACATAAAAAGCACCAGTGAAGTCAGTACAAACTAAAATTTTATACAGAATTATTTGTTTATACTATACACTGAAATGCAAGTACAATATTAGTAGTCCAATTGATTTATTTTATTACTCTCTCATTTTTACAATAGTTAACAATTTTTCAGTAATATTGTGCTGTGACACTTTTGTATTTTTATGTCTGATTTTGTAAGCAAAGTACTTTTTAAATGAGGTGTAACTTGGGGCTACACAAGACAAATCAGACTCATGAAAGGGGTACAGTGGTCTGGAAAGGTTGAGCACTACTGGTCTAGAGGAGGTAGACTGAAATATTTAGTTTAATTAAAAGGCAACAATAAAGCTAATACAAGAGGAAAAACAATATATAACCAAGCTGTGGAACTCAACTGATTGACAAAAGCTATTACTGAAGCTAAGAGATTAGTAGGATCAGATATTTATATGGATAATGATACCGCCATTAGTTACTTCAGATAGGAAAAACATTAAAATATAGGATAGAAAATTCAAGCAAGTAATGAAACAATTACTATTATCAAAATAGGTTAAGACCAACTGCTATTTATTGCAATCCTTGATCATGGAAAGGTCAGAATGTAGGGTTTAATCATTAGAATTATGTGACCATTTAAAGCCATTACAATTTTTCCTTTTGCTGTTAACTCATTATTAAAGCTAAAACAGAAACCAATTACAAGTGTTCCTCATGCTACTATTTATTGGTCTTATGTACTTTTGATGCCCATGTTAGCACATGCACTAGAATCAACTTACAGAACTGTAAAGTCTTATGATTTCCTTTAAGATTACTATAAGCAAGAAATATTACAAGATAGGTATAATTAAACTTAACCTACCTGATTGTCATTACTTAAACAGTCTTCAAGGAATTCATTAACCATGTTAGCCTTGGGGGATTGTAGGGCATTCTCATCTTCCTCACAGCGTACAGGTACTGGAGATTTGCTAAACAAAAAGTTAAACATGCAATTGAAAGTATGAAACAGCTTTACAAACTCAAATTGCTATAAGATACATTCACATGTCATTGGGACTAATGTTTCATATGCTTATAAAATATGCAGATAATAGGCTGGGAGAGGTTGCAGAGGATAGGATTAGAATGATCCTGATAAATTGTAGAATTGCTCTGAAACCAACAAGATGAAATTAAATAAAGACAAATGCAAAGTACTGAACTTAAGAAGAAGAAAAAAAATCAAATTCACAATATAAAGTGAGAAATAACTGGCTAGGTAGCAGCACTGCAGAAAAGAATTTGTGGGTTATAGTGGGTCACAATTTGAAGCTTAGTCAACAGCGTGATGCTGTGGTGAAAAAGATGCTGGGCTGTAATAAGAGGTATCATACATAAGACATGGAAGATAACTGTTCCGCTCTACTTGGCACTGGTGAGACCTTCAGCTGGAGTACTATGTCCAGTTTTGGGCACAACACTTAAAAAAAACCAATGAACTGGAGATAGAGAGGAGAATAATAAAAGTGATAATATATTTCAAAGACATGATCTAGGAGGAAAGGTTGAAAGAACTGGGCATGTTTAGTCTAGAGGAGAAGAGGCTGGGGAAGGGAACGTAAGTTTTCAAATATATAAAAAGTTGTTTTAAAGATGACCATGATCAATTGTTCTCCACATCCACTGAGGGTAGGACAAGAAGTAATTGGCTTAGTTTGCAGCATGGGAGAGTTAGGTTAGATATTAGGAAAAATCTTTCTAACCAGTTAAGTAAGGGAATAAGTTACTTAAGGAGGTATGGAATCCCCATCATTGGAGGTTTTCAAAAACTAGTTAGACAAACCCTCAGGGATGGTCTAGGTATACTTAACCCTGCCTCAGTGTGCAGGGATGGAGTAGGTGACCTCTTTAGGTCCCTTCCAGCCCTACATTTCTAGGATGCCTATCCTACCAAAATGTGATTCAACACAAGTTCAATTCCACCACTGGTACTGATTGGTGCAGACAGGGTTCACCTCTTTCCACCACTGATGATTAAGTTCCACTTTTTCCTGTGTAGACAAGACCTTCATAGTCATTTTAAAAAAGGAGGGGGTGTAGTGGGAAGGAAGATAAGATATTAACACTTTTTACTATAGCTTTCCACTATACCGGATTCATTCTGCTCCCTATATTTGGAACAATACCCTATTACCAATGCACCAAAAATCTTCACTCTCCTCCTTCAAACAACTCATCAGAACATCCTATTTATATTACAGCCCTCATTTCCTGGGTTAGCTAATCCTCCCCAACTTCATTTTCACATCAAAACATTTAAGGTTACTTTCCCCTACAGTGTAGGTCAAATTATTTGGTCCTGTGGAAGACAATCCTTTTTTTTACATCCAGGACTACTCCAAACACCCAGTCCAAGAATCTAGACCCATATTTGAAGCTGTCCAGGAGCCTTCACAGCTATCAACTGTTCCCTCCATAAACAAATGACAGTGTGTTGCCTTACATCAAAACTTTTCCTGCACTAACAAAATTTACAAAACTAGGGATCCAGAAATATATCACTGTGGGTTTAGTGAAAAGTAGAAACCTAGTAATTGATAAAATGATTGAACAGGAGACAGTAGAGTACCACCTCATATGATAAAATATCAAAATCTTAGCAATTCAAGCTGCATCTTCTAAAAACACTCCCTTCTCTTTCCTTAGCACTTTTATGTGAGAAAATCATGCTTATCTAAAATATTCTATAGCAATGGTTCTCAACCTGTGGGCTGCTTGCAGTCCAATCAACACACAGCTGCAGTCCATGTGACATCCTCAGGGCCATACGTGTGGTGTGTGTGTGTGGGGCCCACATAACACAGAGAGCTGCATATGCAGCTCACAATGGTAAATAGGTTGAGAAACACTTATCCACAGTATACACAACACATATACTTAGGCAATGATACACTTTCAAGAACAAATTGTTTTAATGGTTATTTTTGTTTACTCACAAAGCAACTGGAACATTTTCCCATGATCTTTCTGCTTCCAGTATATCTACTGTACAAGGGCTGCCATCATTTTTCAGAGCACTTGATAAATTCTCAACAGAAGACTCTAGAGTTCTCTTTGCCTTCAAGATAAGCAACTCAATCTGGTCATCTAAAAACACAACACAGCATCATCGCCAGTTACTATTCACTACGATTCTTCAAGTCAGCAATTTCACTTTCATTATTACAAGATACTGTTCAGACTTAGTCTAAATGATTTGTAAGACACTGGAAATAGTCTGTCCTCTTTCACAGACAGTATTGCCAAAATTTTCAAAATGTGGTGCCTAAATTTTGCTTAAATATGAAATTAAGCCTCTTAATATGGAACTATGAGACTAACTCTAGGTACCTATTTTTAAAAATCTTGCCATATGATTTTATAGAATAGTCCTCTATTCCAAGCTCTAAGTTCCCAGAAAAGAATCAAATACCGCTCTTCCCAACATAAAATACATCCCAGAACATAAAATAACCTCTACAATAAACAAAAACCCTCTAGCCTTCAACCCACCTCAACACTTGGGGAAAAGATTATCTTGTATTATACCCTGAAGATTAACAGATCTGGTGGAGTGGGAAGAGAGAATTCCAAAGTTGAGTATCCCTCTCAAAGAACGCCCTGCTAACAGCTGTCTCCTCTTTATAGTAGGGGACAGCATCAGTGCCTCTGCTGATCTTTATTGTGGCTGTAGGGCAGGGACTGGCAACCTTTGGCATGCGGCCCAACAGGGTAAGCCGGTTTGTTTACCTGCCACCTCCACAGGTTCGGCCGATCGTGGCTCCCACTGGCCGCGGTTCGCCGTCCCAGGCCAATGGGGGCAGCGGGAAGTGGTGCGGGCCAAGTGATGTGCTGGCCACCACTTCCCGCAGCCCCCATTGGCCTGGGACAGCGAATCGCAGCCAGTGGGAGCCGCGATTGGCCAAACCTGTGGAAGCGACAGGTAAACAAATCAGCCAGGCCCACCAGGGGGCTTACCCTGGCGGGTCATGTGCCAAAGGTTGCCGATCCCTGCTGTAGGGCATATTATTGTTTAATTGCACCATCTGTGTCAGATGTGAATTGAAGGGAAAATTAACATAGCCACAGCCTTTCCATGCAGTAGGATGTTTCCTTCCATACCTCATTTATAGAGTACAGCATTTAAGATTCCTTAACTTTATAAAGCCCTCTGATATTAAGATTTTAATTTAATCAAATATATGTCAATACTGAGGATTCTTAAGTGGCTGGCAAATAGGTCTTCATAGTGTTACATAATAGGCGCTTCAAGAAGTTCTGCTTGCACATACACACACCATATGTAATTACATACAAAACCTGCATTAGTTAGATTGCAAAGTCAAGCACTCAAAAATTAGAAAGTGGCAGATTTACGTTTTCATGTGCAACCCTAATTCAACTACCTGTCCAACTAGCCTCTGGACTGAGTGAGGTAGGGGTCCGGGGGGGGGGGGGGAGGGTGATCATATAATTAAAAACTGCATTATAATAGATATACGCAAAGGGGTGAAAACTGAAGTTATGCAGGCATCTGTAAAGCTGACATTTCCTAACTTCTGAGTGCTTGACTTTGCCATCTAAAATAATGGTTTTAAATTAGATTTTATAGAATTTCCTAGTTTTTTTTTTTTTTAAAATAAATCTAATCCCAACCATACATTACCAGCAATGTGAATGCTGAATCCTCAACACTGCAATGCAGACTTCTACCTCTTGAGCTACCTGACTAATCACATTAGCTAGCAACAGGAAAATGCTGTTGGGGGTGGGCTGCTGGCACCACATGCTGGGAGATTTTTTTAATAGAGTCTAGCTCAGCAAGCTGCCCCTCACCTGGGAATTGAAAGAGCTCCTGCTCCACATGGTGCTCCCAGGGAGGACTGGAAACTGGGCACAAACTGGTTATGGGGTGAGCTCGGCTTTCTCATCCCCTAAAGAGTTGAGGGAGCTACTGCCCATGTTGTGCCCCCCTGCAGGCATAAAGCACTGAATCCTTTCCCCCCGACCCCGCAAATGGGCACAGTAATGTCCAGCTCCCTCCATTCTTTCCTATTGCAGCTGGTCACAGGTATTCTCAGTGCAGTATCTGCTTCTGCTGTTTGAGAGAAACTGGCAGAGGCTGGTCACAAAGGCAAACCAGCTAGAAGTGTGAAGTCAACATGCATAAGTTAAAACAGGGTTAACCCTGTATGGATACTCTCATTTAGGAGTAAAGTGCCCTTTGTTTACTCTAACTTAGGGAGATGTTAATATTATGGACTCTACAGTGGTACAGCTATAGCGCTGCAGCTGTGCTACAGTAGCACCATAGAGTAGACACTTTCTAGACCATGAAGTTTTTCCTGTCTCTGTAGTAAATCCACTCCCTCAAGAGGCGGTAGCTAGGTGGACTGAATTCTTCTTTTGATCTAGTTGTGTCTATTCCAGGACTTAGGTCAACTTAACTATGTCTCTCACCAACATGAATTTCTCACACTCAGTGGACTGACGTATCTAGGTCAACCTAAATTTTGGATGTAGACCAGACCTTAACCCTCCCAGATTAAATTACAGTGTACTAAGCCCACTTTACTCCTGAATGACAGCACCCATTGGATGGGTGGGTGAGATTAAATATGTACTAATTTATACATATTGACTTCAGAACTTTAGCTGATTTACCTTAACTTTACTGAGGGCTTGTCTTCATGAACACTACACTGGTGCAACTGTGCTGCTGTAGCGATTTAGTGAAGACCTCTCATTGTAGTTAATCCACCTCCCCGAGCGGCAGTAGCTATGTTGAGGGCAGTAGCGATGTTGAGGGCATAGCGCTGTCTACACGGGGAGTTACATCAGTATAACTATATCGCTCAGGAGCGTGGATTTTTCACCACTCCCCCACGTAGAATAGGTGTGAATAGTCTTACTGTGCAATATAAGAGGAGCATGTTCTGCCATGTGTGACTAAAAGGGTAACATTTTGCATTTAACATTCTCAAGAAACATTCAAAACAAATCATGCGTAATGCAGTTACCTCTGAATGGCTGTCTGGACTGTCTTGAGAGACCATTGCCAGGTTGGAAGTCTGCACTTGGTCTGACATATCGGCAATTTCCTGATACTTTACTGTCACCTGCTGGATCCAGATAACTATTTTGTTCAAAAGAACTGCAGTCCAATTTATCCACAACATGGCATTTTTTCAGATTCTCACAAATTTTTGAAGAGGAAAATTCATCTTGTATGTTAACTGTCTGAATAAAACTTTGATTAGCTGAATCACATAAAAGGTTATGACTCTTTAGCCAGATTGGGTACTTGAAATCAGGAATACTACTTATCCCCGACACATTCAAGTCAGACTTATGGCTAGTAAGCCACCTTGGATAATTCTTGACAGAAATGGACTTAGAGTGTTGTTGAAAAAGGCAATCCCCTGCATTTTCTTTAGAAAATATAGAATTATATTTGTGAGATTTATACACATTGTGTTTCTCTTTGTTAATGTCTCTGTAGTGATTTCGATTATCCACAGCATTGCCACTGTCTTGGAAACCAAAGTCTTTTTCAACATCAAATGAGGAAGTTTGATAAGCATAGAAGGGAGATTTTTTCAGTGACTTCCTAATCCACTTCCCGCTTTGAAGCCCTGACCCAGAAGGTATCCTGTGGATAAAAGGCAGTGATCCATCTGCTGGAAATGCTAGTAGATCATCTGTGGTGAGACTAATCAAGTCTGGGTCACAAACAGTTTGTCTTATAAAAGGTGAGGCATTGGAGTTGAGTTTTACTTGCTGGTTAAAGTCCTCCAAAGCTGAAAAACAGAGAAACAGTTTTTATATATTTTTCTAAATTTTAAAAAAATTAAAACTATGTACTTGAAAAACTTATGATAGATACATTTTTACATTACAGTTCTTTTACTAAATTACAATGTGAATATTGTGGACTGATGTTTCAAAGCATCATAGTCGATCAATTCTGACTCCACTTCTCTCAAAATATTGGTGGCAAAAATGAACAAAATAAAGTCATTTAAAACTTTTGTCTTACTCCCCATGAGTCAAGATACTCATGTTATGCCTGTGGAACGGTAGAGGGGGGTGGTTTTGTGGGAAATCTAGCATCTTCTTTCTGCTGTTTATCTGATTCATAAAACCAAAATGGTGCACCATTCAGAGAAGTATTTTGACTTCAGTGCAGGACTATAAATGGCAGCATATTTCAGACATCACCTGGATTGGAGGCATTATTGATCTAGCCCTCATTTCGTTTGATGCTCCAACTGGGGGTGCAGGAGGGGGCTCCAGTGGGGACAGAGGACTCCCACAGCCCTCTCTCCCCGCAGCAGCACCTGAGGCGGGGAGTGGGAGGAAAAAGATGCCCCCTCCCTGCTGCAGAAGCTCCGGGGCTAGGGCCACAGGACGGGCACCCCTCTCCAGGCTGGTCCAGGCCAGGGCTGGATTCAGGTCAGGGGAGGGACGCTTTGGCCAGTCCGAGCGCAGCAGAGTTGGAGTTGGGGGAGGGGCGCCCCGGCCTTGGCCGGGTGCCCTCCCCAGCCACAGCAGGTTCTCCGGGTGGGTTCCCTAAGCATCTGTGCAGTGCTAAGAAGGCGGCTGCGCAACTTACAGGGAACTTAGATACCAACGTAAGTTTGTACTGTAGACCAGGGCTGAGTGCTGTATTTTCAAAGAATTGCTTTCATATAAAATATTTGTGTACCTAAAAATCTGTGTAATGCATGTGTACAGCTGACCATTTTGCCCATAATACATTTCAAATAACAATTTACAGGATGCACAGAACTCACAAGATACTGAAACCTTTTCAGCAATTAGCTTTTTAATTTTAAAGTTTTATTGGGACACAGAATACAGCTAAAAGAAAAGGAGTACTAGTGGCACCTTAGAGACTAACCAATTTATTTGAGCATAAGCTTTCGTGAGCTACAGCTCACTTCATCAGATGCATTCAGTGGAGTACAGCTAACTACTTTTTGATGTACAAATGTTGAAACCCTACAGAGAGTGTCCAAGTTGCTATCACATGTAAATTGTAGCTGTTATCACATTATGTAGCACCACAAGTGCACATGGAGTCTCACAGACATAAGACAGTCCCTGGCCCCCAAAAAATCTTACAACATGAATACTGTAGGATCTAGTGTCAGCAAAAGAAACAGACTTGTCCAATTTTAGGGCATGCCTTCGAGGTTAGATATTTTTCTAATACATCTGTAATATTTCAGGCAGAGTACTGACTGTCACCTATACACAAATATTAAAGCTGATTCCCTGTCTCTCCCAAAGTGCAGCAAGTATATTAGAAGAAAAAAGTAGAATTGAAAGGACAAGAAAATAGCCTGCAGCTACAGAACCTGAACCTGTGATCGTACTAGAACTCACAAGATATGCAGGGTCAGAATTCAGTCTTTTAGAAGAGATTTCTAAAACTGAGATTCTGATGGCATCATTAAAATGTATTTTACTTTCCTAGCCAAATTCCATTTTAGGTATTTTTACTACCCAAAATCTTCCACCAATTTCAACTGCATAATATATTAATCTACTGTGTTAAACACATTCAGTCTTGCAAATGTATAACGTGCAGACATGCTCAGTAAAGCATCAATGAGGCTCGGTGCAGGATTGGGGGCCCAGTTTGTAAAGTGCTTTCAGTATATAAAGTAAAGAGAAATATTTTTTTAAAATAGAAAAAGTTGTTTTTAAGCAAGCACTAGAATCACAAAGCTATTAAACAAAAATATCAGCCTTACCTAACCATAAACAAACTGCATGCCACTAAAACGGTTTCTCTCACACCCACACATCTCCAGGTGTTTCTGACTAGAGTTTTTAGTGGTTAAAATTAGTTGATAGCCAATAAACTCGTGTTAACTAACACAGCTGTAAAGGCTAATGCAACACCTTTACAAACCTTTGTTCCCAGTCATGGTGCAGCCTATGGTTCAGACAAAAAACTCTAGTTCAGATAAAGTAACAAGTAACCCCAACTATTTGAACTGGTAATACCATCAGCACCTAACAGGTGCTCTAGCAAATTAGTTTTATATAGTTCTGATGTTACTCTAGGAACAGAAATTGAATCCTTGTCAAGATCCAAGTTTAGGCACTGATTTACAATATTATGTTCTAGACATGCACATCATATATTGTGGGGATGATTTATATTTAATCAACTGCAGAGCAGTAAGTTTATTCCTGTACCTATGACTGTGTCATCAGACCACAAATCTATTTCCCCACTGTGATGTATTCTAACATTCTTAGCCTCTGATTAGTTCCAAACATCAGTTACTCATTTAGTCATTCTACCAACATTTTTTCCTCTTTTCCCCCAAAATGTAGAATTTTCCATAAAATGACACCTGCTTAAGATCCAGGACATGCAATATTCAATGCGGTATCACAGACATGTTTTCTATTTTTAAAATAGCATTTAAGTCCATTGTGTCACAGTGACATATGCAATCTGATGAGTTTTGTTGAAAAGCTGGAAAGTATCCTTAACACTAGCTTTTGGCTAAGAGCTCAATCTCAGATCTAAAAAACACTTTTTTGCGGGGGAGCGGGCAAAAAGCTATTTTGAAATTTGATTTCCCTGAAATATATTTTTGATTTCCACTAAGCTTACCACTGTTGGACTGATAGTAACTAAAGGCACTACAGATCAACAGATACACAAAAGTAGACCTAATAAAACTTCATTTTTTAAAAAGTGAGAGCTTCAATCCTGCAAACATGCACATCTTCACTTTTAGCATTAGTAATGTGAGTGGTATTACTCACATTCTCAGTTTTAAGCAGGTAAGTAAGTGATGCAGGATTGGGATCTAAAACAGTGCTTTCATATATAAATGTGTGGCATATATAGAACAAACAGTGGTTTTATTCACTCCTGTGGTAAGACTTGCACTATATTTATGTATTTGCCAATAACAGCTATTCCAAACTCAGACAGAGTTTAAGGCCAAAATGGACCACTAGATCATGTAGTTAGTGCCTGTATATATTACAGGCCACCAACACACTAAACCTAACAACTAAAATTAGACCAAAATTCTGTAGCCTCTGTAATACACCACTCCAGCGGTATTCCACCTTTTACTTATATTTGCTTATGATTTCAAATCTTAAGTTATTATTTACAAAAGTTTCATTTAATCTTTAATATGAAACTAAGAAGTAAACAGCATAGTATGAAAGTGCAGTTTCACGCCAGCCAAGTTTGCAGTCCAGGAGATCCAGTTCCTTTATATACCTAAAAACTTGTACAGACAGGAGATGAAAGTGAGGAAGTGTAGTAGACTTATTCCACTTCCACCATACATCTCTAATTTCAAATTTACATGGTTTTATTTTTAATAAGATGTAAAAATTCATTTTTACTGAAGACTATTACAGAGAATGAGAAGTATCACTACCTAAACATCATTTATTACACAATATGTGCCTAGAATTTATGCAGTAAATATTCATTAAATCAAATAGATTACTGATCAGTGTTAAGACTTTTTGACAGATTCAAATTCCAAAAAGGAATTTAAAAAAGTTTCAATAAGAGGATCTATAGCCATACATAACAAACAAGAATAGACTGAAAATGTAAAAGATGACAGAACCAGTTCATGAGATGTTCTCTTTAGAGAGATGTCAAAATATTAAACAAAACCACAATTTAAGCTTCATTTGCAGGAAACATACCGTATTTTTGTACAGAACCATACTCTGCTGACTTATCTTTAGGAGTACTCTGACCTATGCAGATTTTTCCAGTGCTTACTTCTGAAGACATAAGACTTTGATCAAAATCTTCAATATAGGCCTCTAAAGCCTGAGATGCAGAGTTGTATACCTTGTCTTTGTATTGAATTGAGCCGTTTGAGTAGGAGTTACTACTGTTAAGGCTGCAGCTTGCTAGGAGAGAAGACACAGTAGATTCAGGCAAGTAAATGCTGTCTTTTTCAAACGAGCATGCCATGGCTTTTATCCAAATGACTGATGGAATCTCTTCTCATCTTTCTGAAGAGTCTGAGTAAAGAAATAAAAATATAATCAATCACCTCTCATGATGTCCTCTCATACACTGTACTTTCAAATCAAGCATCTGTATGTTTATTAATTTCCAGTAAGAGTTTCACCAATTTTGATAGTTGCACTATTTAAAAGCTAACAAATTCCATTCAGCTCTAAGCCAGATATTCAATCTGGCTACTGACCTCATAGCTTTACAAAAATAAAAAAAATGTTTATGATTTATGCATGTATATGAGTAGGCAATAACAAGAAAAACAAAGGCATTCAAAGCACAGAACAAAAATAAATCTGCATCTGGACAGAGAAAAGTGAACAAATCTGAGTATTCATATGCAAAAGGCACCTCATATGCTGTGCGGACATCACACTGTTAAACTAGCTTTTTCCAAACAACATTTGGTACTGCAAGATGCCGACTAACCCCGGTTTAGCAAGAGGGGCATTTAGCACATGAAGAGATTAAAGTCTGCCAGACCACTGCCTTCAGCTGGAACATCCCAAAATGTCAGTCTATGACATCACAGCTAGCACAGAAAACCCCCAAAATAATAGAACAAAATTGAAGAGATTAGTAAAAATGGTTTTAACAGTATAAGCAAGTGGTTCAGTTGAACATATCAAAGTGATAAAAGCACTATCATTGCAGGAAGTCAAGAACAGTTTAGATGCAACAGTACTGGGAACGGTGTATTAAAGAACCCTGCCAACTACAGGTGTGGGTGACATTGGACAGGCATTGGAAGAGCTTTTCCTGTCTATGCAATTACGAGACAGCCCCTTTAAATTGGCTTGGTTATAACAATCCCATGGGTTGACATTTACTGAAGGATCAGAAACCTAGACTAGTACTAAAGGCTGACGCTGGGATTTTCAAAGAAGCCGAAAGGAATTAAATCCCATGAAGATAGGCACCTAGCTCCCGTAAGCCTTGTTGAAAATCACAGCCTCACTCAACCTGGTCACCTCACACGAGGGCAGGGCTGTTACCAAGCCCCGACCCCCAACGCCCGCCCCCCGCGGAGACCTTCCGCCCCACTGCCCGCTCCGGCCGGGGAGACTACCCGCGGGGCCTCTAAGGCACGCATACCCAGCCGGGACAGTCAGCACCCACCTCCGCTCCCCTCAGCGCCCGTAATCCGCCGTTGCCGCCCGCTAGTTTAAAGTACAACGACACTTCTTTCAAAATGGCGCTGGGCTACTCACTGCGCAGGAGCACAAGGTCTCGCTCCTTTCTGGGAGTTGTAGTTTACCTCCTCCTCCGGAGCGAGCCGGGGACTACAACTCCCAGAATGCCCCGCGGGCCGTCGCCGCAGACATGCGCTGCTGTGATTCAGGGAGCTGAGCTGGAGCCCGTGTGCCCGGGAAAGTATCCGCTCCTCGCTTAAGTCCTTCCCGAAAACTTACGTCCTCAATTATGTCTACAATAGAGGACCCAATAATATGTTATCTATCAACCTGAGCCACTCAAATGTGCCTATCTCACCCCACTCGTTGTACTGCAGTAACCCTCCTCTTTCTTCATCCCGCCTCCATGTCCCTGTTGCTGTCTGTGCAGATTATCTACCCATCTCTCCAGGGCCGTCTGTGGCCCCTCTCGCAGTGCTGCTGATAGCAATACCACCCGAGGACACCTGCCAGGGGCGCGAAGGGTGTTGCCGAGCCAAGACTTTCCTATACCCCGCTTGCGCTCGTCTGAGGAGCGGGCCCTGCCCGCCAGGCCAGGGCTGGGTGGGGGTAAGTGGCGGTGCAGCAAGCGGTGTTACGTCCCACACAGCCTGGCTGCTGTGGGTGAGGCTGAGCTCCCCGGTCTCCCGCCTGCAGCGGTCTGAGTACCGGGCCGAATTCGAGGGCGCTGTAGGGCCGCGGTCTGGACCCGCCCCCTGCGCGGCCGGAGGTGCTGGCTGAGCCCAGGCTGCGGCCCTGGCCCAGTGGGCGTGGCTACGGAAAGCGGGCGGGTGGATTCCGAGCCAGGCGCTCGCGATGCCCAGCCTTTGGTCGGCGTCGCGGGGCTGAGCTCCGCGTGCGGGCCCGGCCGCTCGCTCGGGGAAGGGGCGGGAGCCGTTCACCTCAGCGTGTTCCCGCGCTGCGGCGGCGGCCGCATGGAGCTCCCGGAGGAGGAGGAGGAGGAACCGGATTGGCTTTGCCCGGAGCCTGGCGGGCCTTGGAGCCATGCGGCGCCCGCGAGAGGCTCCTCCGCCACTCCCGGAGCACAATGTAAATACGGGCCCCATCGCCCCGAGAACGGGGTGGCGGGGGCTGGGGCTGGAGCTGTTGCTGTTGCCGGCGGGGAAAATCTGGAGCCCGCCGGGCGACGTGGTCAGACAGACGTCGAGAGCTGGGGCCCCTGAGACACGAGTGTTTGTCCCGCCCGGAGCTGAGCGACTCCCCCAGGGATCCATCCTGCCCCCAGCGCCCGGCTCGCTCCCCCCCCCCCCAGCGTCTCCCCATTCCCTCGCCTCCCTGTTTCCCCCTCAGTCTTACCCTGATTGCCTTGGTCTCCGCACAGCCCCATCGGTGTTGGGACTGGTTCAAATGTGAAGCTTGTCAGAATTCGATTAATTTTTTATCATTTTGATGGCTAATAGCCATGCTTATTTTTAAGCATTTCCCCCGGGTTTTAGCAGTTTTTAATTTTTCACTTTTTTTGGGGGGGCTCAATCGGGCGGTGGCAGACAATAATTTAATGACAATAGACTGAGTGAGATTAAAGAAGTTAAGGCTTTATAACGGTTAAAACACAAATTGTCAACATCACCTGTCAAAATATATAAAGTAAATATTCTCAAATCGCACACTAATAAGTTCTCAAACAGAAATTTAGTTACTTTGCCTGTCTGTACATTTCAGTTATTATCAGTGGAAATATTTTTATTGTTGGTTTGTGTGTGTGTAGGGAAATCAGTATACCAACACAAATTTAATGCTTCCAAACCTATTTAAATGGTAACAGTGTAGCTGAACCAAGGCATCATTTTTGCTTGTAAAACACCACATCTGCGTGAAGTGCCATATAAATAATAATATCTAGAAAATGGTGCTGCTCCGAGTGCTCAGTCCTGTTTCACATTAGGAACATGCAAAACACCAATTCAATGGAATTAGAAACCTTGGATTGAAACAGTTAAATGTTGCACATTTCAGCACATTTTCATATAACTTAAAGTGCATTCCCTTTCATCTAAAAAAAACAAGTCCCCAGAAGGGGGAAAATCTGATATTTTTAAAATCATTAAATCTGTACTTAAGTATTAAAATGTAGCTTAGTACATTTTTTCTCAAACTTTCCTAAGAAAATGTTCATCTTTGGGTCAAGAACCAGCATAACAGATTTAAACTTTAAGAAATATATTTTTTTGAAATTATATAGTATGGGCCTTACTATATAGTTTAAAAATATATTTCTATAAAGTTTGCTCTTTGCACTTGACAGCATTTTTGCTTTCTGGTTGATGATCGGTTGCATCACTCATGGGCTGCTACTAGGTGGAGTTCATGTGCATATTCTTTCATAGACAGGTTATTTATTTAAACCTGCAGAAGTAGAGAAGCTGAAATTGTAGAGATACTAGGCAGGTGTGTTCTCAGAGATAAAGAGGTGGGAAGTATATTTGGTGTTGTCACTTTTGTGCCCACCCACTGGATGCTTCTAAACAGAGTAGGAAAATCCTTATACATTTTCTAGCAATAATTAAAATAAACCAAGGCATACAATGTAAAGGGTGCTGTATCAGAAATACAACTTTATAAAATTATTCAGTAAAAAAGAATCGAGGTGGCACTGGCCATCTACAAGAGGTCTTCAGGATGTAGACAGCAGTATCTTTACTGATACCAAACCACTGTGCCAATTGGCTTCTGACCAAATTAATGTATAATTTATAAACTCTCTCTACTTTGCCACACAGTGCTTGATTTCCAAGCATAGTTTTCATGTGGGAGATTGTTTGTTGCATTATTGACAAGGGTAAGAAGGATGTTATCTTTAAACTTGGTTGTACATTTTCATTGCAGCAGGTAATGGCAAGACTGTACCATCAGGAAGTACAGCGCACAGAGTAATTGTGCACACTGACCTGGATTGCTTTTATGCACAAGTAGAAATGATCCGTAATCCTGAATTAAGAGACAGACCTTTAGGTAAATTTATATGTTGCTGTTTATTGCTGTTGGGTTTATGTTTATGTGGTTGGGAAAGATAAAGATACTTTTTTATTTGTACTCTGTCTTTCATAACTTACTCCACTTGGTTCTAAGGGTCAGTTGAGCTTAAAACTGTTGGTACTATTGCATGTGAATTAACTAATCAATGGAAGAAAAGAGTGAAGTAAATATTTTTAAATTAATTCTATACTAATGCAGATGTGCCCATGTATACATCAGGTTGCATGATAAGGGCCAAAAATAGTGGGAATACCTTTTTAATAAGTGAAAAATTAATATGGCATTTAAGAAAAAATATTTTATTACCATAAAATGTTCTAAGACCATGAGCAAGGGTCCTGCTTCCATCAGTCTTACTCAATAAAATTAGGGTGTATTTCTTCTCAAAAACGGTATTAAATTTTTACTGATTGAGGGATTTGCATTACAGGCTTTGACAGCAAAGTGTAAACCATTTGGCATGGAAGTACTGTAATAAACAAGTGACTCATTAAAATGTTCTGTAAATGTAAAGTGTTACGATTTTTTACCTTTGTTTCCAGGTGTTCAGCAGAAATACTTGGTAGTTACCTGTAACTATGAAGCCAGGAAACTTGGAATTCAGAAACTTATGTCTGTCAGAGATGCTAAAGAAAAATGCCCAGAGCTAGTGCTAGTTAATGGAGAGGACCTGACACAATACAGAGAAATGTCATACAAGGTTACAGGTACAGGTTAACAATTTCTTAATAGTGGGAAATAAGTACTGTACATATACTTATTATGGTAAAAAAAAATTTCCTCCATAAACATTTCTGATTTTATGTGAGCTTCAGAAAATTGTCATAAGGCTTGTAGAGATGCCATCTCAATCTCTGATTCCATCAGATTTCACAAACTAAGCAGTTGGGCTCAGTCATTATCTAGATTAGAGGTGCATGCTGGATTCAGACAGCTGGGTGTATTTAAATGGCCTACATGACATACTAGGATTCTGCAGAATCTTTAATGTTAATATTTTTCAAATGAAAGGTAAGTTTCAAGCCCTCATGGCTGCAGAGAGAACCTTCCAAAAATGAACTGAGGGGAAACTGATGTCATGACATCTGCCTGAGACTGCAGGTAGCCTGAGTCAGAGACTCAGAAGTATGAACTCCCCTGTCCCTTGTTAATCTTCTTCAAGGGGTTGATAATGAAGTCCACAGAATTGGGAATTTGGAGTTGCTGCAGGGAAAGAATTACAGAAGTTAAAACCTTGAAGACTCACAAAGAGAAAAGGGAAAGGAGCAGAGAAAGGAAGTAAAGGGCAAAATAGCAGTGGCCTAAAGGGAAGCAGATTTTCTCATTGAGTGCTGAAGAGACAATAAGGTATTCAGTAGTATTACCTTGCAGCTATGTTCTCCCCTTGAGTTCTGTGCAAATTTCTCACTTAGATCAGTGGGAAATCCACTGTGGATTGTAGAGAATATGAAGTCCCAAGTTTACATTATTACACTATGTGGTTATTGTCACAATTTCAGAACAACTGCACCTCTGACTTCCTGTGTAGTTTGCTCAAGGGATGTTCTCTTAAGTATCAAGGGATCTAGCCATCAGCTCTTTCCAGACAGGGACCTGCGTCCCTCTCCCTCCAGAGCTGACATGTAGGCTGCAGTGTCCTGCAATTCACTGTGATTATTCCCGCAGGTCTGCCCTAGTTCAGCTTTCTCTCAAGGGCTAAGACCGTGATTTACCAGAGACCAAACAGCCGTATGCAGAGCACAGTACATTTATTTTAGGACAAAAATATTAGAGAGAAAACATAATAAAACAATAATAAGTCTAAACACATACTTTAGCTTACTAGAGATTCCCCCCATTTTCCTTATGGAGACCCAATAACATTCCAGGGTCCAATCCAGACTAGTGAGGGGTTGTCACCTCCTGCCCTGCAACCTTGGGTGGTTCACAATGTTTTGCTGTTGTAGGTCCCACAAACAGCCTTCTAGCATGTAGGTTACACCCTTTGTGTCTATAGCTGCTGTCCTGGTTCAGCAACTCTGACTCTAACAGCCTGTCAGCAACATACCAGCCACACACTAGCTTCTAGCAGCCTTGATTACTACTTACAGAGTGACACCAATACACTTCCAGACCCGAATTTTCCCCAGAAACTTGTGTTCTGCAATGCCCAGCCCTCTCCTGGACAGTTCAGATATTCGAGATGTGTTGCCCCTGTAAGGATCAATGTATGACAGTATGGTACTTTCATAGAATCATAGAATATAAGGGTTGGAAGGGACCCCAGAAGGTCATCTAGTCCAACCCCCTGCTCGAAGCAGGACCAAATCCCAGTTAAATCATCCCAGCCAGGGCTTTGTCAAGCCTGACCTTAAAAACCTCTAAGGAAGGAGATTCTACCACCTCCCTAGGTAACGCATTCCAATGTTTCACCACCCTCCTAGTTAAAAAAGTTTTTCCTAATATCCAATCTAAACCTCCCCCACTGCAACTTGAGACCATTACTCCTCGTTCTGTCATCTGCTACCATTGAGAACAGTCTAGAGCCATCCTCTTTGGAACCCCCTTTCAGGTAGTTGAAAGCAGCTATCAAATCCCCCCTCATTCTTCTCTTCTGCAGGCTAAACAATCCCAGCTCCCTCAGCCTCTCCTCATAACTCATGTGTTCCAGTTCCCTAATCATTTTTGTTGCCCTTCGCTGGACTCTCTCCAATTTATCCACATCCTTCTTGAAGTGTGGGGCCCAAAACTGGACACAGTAC